TTATTACCCTAATGTTATGAAAAAGTCATGCCTCTCCAGAGAATCCAGCAGTACTACAAACAAAAGCCATCAGAGCTTCTGGAGGCCAGGGATCAGAGCTCACTGGCTGGAGAATGCCTTTTGCTGTAGGACGTGTAGTCACCAAGACATGGGCATCATGAGGTAAAGGTCAGCAAGTTCATCCACCCCTTTCAGTCCTGGAATCCTGCTCCACCAACTCCAGCAGCTAATCGGAGACAGTATCGATGAGGATAACTTAGGCATTTAAAACTCCCTTCAGCTGTTCAAACACAAGTCTACAACGGCCAAATATCGTGTCCTGTGCTCTTTCGGAATATTCTCGGTGACATCAGAGATTTGCATTCGGGTATCTACACACAGCACACAGAGGCAAACACGTTCTTTAGCACAAAAACTGTTTTAGGCTAATGCCATCCGAAAATATGTATGATGCAATATATATTAAATTTCTTGAAATTGAGCATATCCTTTGGCTTAAACAGTCTTTGAGGCATTTATTCTAAAGAATAGCAGACAAGGGGGCACGTGGGTGGCTCAGTCGTTAAGCGTCTGCCTTCGGCTCAGGTCATGATCTCAGGGGCCTGGGATCGAGCCCTGCATCGAGCCCTGCGTTGGGCTCCCGTCAGCGGGGAGTCTTCTTGGCCTTGGTACAAGTCTTGCCTCCACTTCTTGATAGTTGTATCACCTTGTGCATGTCACTCAACTTCTCTGCCTCATCTCTAACAGGGACTGATAATTGTCCCAACCTCACAGGGTCTGTACTATCGTAAGAAATAAATGAGTTAATATGTAAATATGCTTAGGATGTTTTCTGGCACATGCTGTTTGTTACTAATAATAGAAAAATTGAACATAGCCTATATACTCATTGATTTAATAAAACACAACGTAGGGGCACCTGGGTGGCTCAGTCGGTTAAGCATCCAACTCTTGGTTTCCTCTCAGGTCATGATCTCAGGGTTGTGAGATCCAGCTCTGCTTCATACTCCACACTCAGTGCAGAGTCTGCTTGAGTTTCTCTCTCCCTCTCCCTCTGCCCCTCCCCTTGCTCTCTCTCTCTCTCAAATAAATAAATCTTAAAAATATATATGTCTAAAAAAACCCCAAATGTACTATATTTTTGAAGATATTCACATATTAAAAGAAAAGCAATTAAGTTACATAGTAATGTATTAACTAGGAATGCTGAGTAATTATATACCAAAAGGTTAACTTTAGTTATTTTTTGGTTATGAAATAATAGACTACATTTTGTCCTACGGATCACTGCTATTTTCTAAATTTTCTACAAAGGAAATGTGTAATAACAGTCTTTTTAACCCCTGCAGAAGAAGAGTAATGGCTAACATTTATTGAGACCTTACAAGGGATCAAGTACTTTATGTTTGTCTGTGTGTGTGTATGCATGTGTTTGTACACACACACACACACACACGTTCCTTGCTTACAATAACGTTAAGAGGCAGAATCCATGATTATCATCTCCATGTAACAGATTTAGAAACAGAAGTGCAGAAAGGTGAAGTAACTTGCCTAAAGGCCCCCCCCCCATCTAGTGAGTGGTAGTGGTGGGATTTGAACCCGTGCTGTCTGATGCAGGGCCTGTGTTTTTAGGTTTTTAGGTTAGGTACTGTCTTTGTATGATTTGAATAATACCGATGAGCGTTGAGCTACAGCCCCCACAGCAATAACCCAGTTGCACACACGGTTTAAAGGTGATGAATAGAGAGTGCCTCTTCGTCCTTGAGTCTTTGTTGCCAGCTGATGAACGGGGGGCTTTCAGACCTCCAGTCTTCCTCTTAGTTACCATGCTTAGTAAATGGTAAGAGTATGGGCGCCTGGGTGGCTCAGTTGGTTAAGCGACTGCCTTCGGCTCAGGTCATGATCCTGGAGTCCAGGGATCGAGTCCCGCATCGGGCTCCCTGCTCGGCGGGGAGTCTGCTTCTCCCTCTGACCCTCCTCCCTCTCATGCTCTCTGTCTCTCATTCTCTCTGTCTCAAATAAATAAATAAAATCTTTAAAAAAAAAAAAAAAGATAGATAGGGGCGCCTGGGTGGCTCAGTTGGTTAAGCGACTGCCTTCGGCTCAGGTCATGATCCTGGAGTCCCGGGATCGAGTCCCGCATCGGGCTCCCTGCTTGGCGGGAAGCCTGCTTCTCCCTCTCACCCTCCTCCGTCTCATGCTCTCTGTCTCTCATTCTCTCTGTCTCAAATAAATAAATAAAATCTTTAAAAAAAAATGGTAAGAGTATGTATATCAGATGATGTAGTACAATTGACATTTCTGTGTATCCCCTAAAAAGAGTGTATTGACTTTACCTTGCATTAACCAAACTGGAAATATATTTTAAAACATAGCAAAGTGAGGGGGGCCTGGGTGGCTCAGTCGTTAAGCGTCTGCCTTTGGCTCAGGTCATGATCCCAGGGTCCTGGGATCGAGCCCCGCATTGGGCTCCCTGCTCCGCGGGAAGCCTGCTTCTCCCTCTCCCACCCCCCCTGCTTGTGTTCCCTCTCTCTCTGTGTCTCTCTCTCAAATAAAGAAATAAAATCTTAAAAAAATAAAAAATAAAAAATAAATAAAACATAGCAAAGTGAAATGGCCTAAGTAGCACAGATGTTTTTCTCTCTCCTATGACTCAGTCCTGATTGCCGCTGCTGGGTACCCTGAATGAGTCTCCTAACCTCTTTCAGAAGGTGAGTTGGAGAAGTATAGGAACAAACTTGGGCCCAGCCCATACGTAAGAGTCAATACGTCGAGTTCCAGTAGCAATAAAGTGTAGAGCAAACTTGTCCCTTCAGTTCAGGGTACGTAATTAGCACAGATCAAAGGCGTCCTGAGGAAACGATGGATTTTCAGCAGTTGTCTGGTCTGTTTCTGTTCTAGAATTTCTGTTTTTATTCAGGCAGTTAAGTTATAATTGACAGGGTTTTGCGTTTCTTTTAAGGAATGAAAATTGAGTGTTTCAGAGTCATAATCTTACGCTAGAAAATAATATCTCAAACCTGGTGGCTGCAACCACTGCATCTATTTTTTGAAAATTGGCTGCCTTTATCACTTAATAACCAACCTGATAATTTACTAACAGACGAGGCTGGTGGAATTAGGCTGTCAGGACTAGCATATTGCTGGATAGCACTACCAATCTTGAATCCTTGTGATTGTAAAATACTAAAGTTTAGCCAGTGCATTACTCAGAGGCAACTAATTACAATTGGGGAGTTCATTACAACATTAGACAGAGTCTCTGAAATCCAGAAGGAATAGCCACTCTCAGTCCTGATAAACTGCCGCCCTAATTCTTCCGGAATTCTTCTGGGAATTAGGATTCACTGCTGTCATGTGCTAAGGGGTCATTTTTGGTGTCTTTCCCAGAAGAGGCTGAACTTCCAGAGAGGTCCTGGGAGCCGGGGAAGGGATTTTTCTCTCTCTGCCTCGCCATTGTCTTTTCTTCTAGCAAAACTAATAAAACCTGTCAGTGAGAGGATCTGTTCACCAGTGGGCCAGTCTGGCTGCATCTTGTACCAATGGGTCATCTTGGCCGTTAGGGAGATGGGAGTATATAGTGTATCCAGGAACCTCCTTGGTGCCCTTCTTTCTTCCCACTGCTTTCCGGAGGATGCAGCATGGTACGGGGAGAAGTGGCGTGGAGACTTGGTCCTGACCAGGATTTGTCCCCCACAAGCCTTGGACATCTATCATCTTGGTTTTGATTTCTTCAGTAGTAGAATAGCGAGATTAATGTCTGCCTTACAGAGTTGTCAAGATTAACAGATACAAAGAATAGAAAATATGTCCTAGAGGGCCTGGTGCCTAGTAGGCACTCAATAAATAGTTATTATTGTGATGATAATTATTGTTCACTGCTTGTTAGAAACTCAAAGGATTTAGATTGTTCCTATTTCCCTCAACCCAGAAATGTGAGCTGGCTCTGGGTTCTAGACCAGAAAAGTCACAAACTGTTGTAGGAGTTGGGAGAGAAGGTCAAATAAAATCGTATACCTAGATTAGTTTTCCAAAAGCATATGGACTTCTACGTTTTTAAAAAATCCTCTCTTCCTTCTTCCCACTTGTTCTCTTTGGCCTCTTCCACACTCCTTCACTCCCCCAGGCAATCCATGGAATAGTTCTGTTACTACCATTTCAGAACGATGTATTTTTTTGTTAGAAATGAATTTGTATTAATTATTCTGCCACACAGCATGTTTCTAATTACATAACAATCTGTAGTCTGTACTCAAAATGTAATGTGATTTTTGTAAACTAATGAACAACCTCCCTCCCCATCCCTGCAACTAAAATGTCACATATCAGGATAACCCGCAGTTTCCATCTCTGTCGCTGCCTGTTTGGAAATGTTCAATTCCGGCTCTTCGTGAAGGTTGTGTTCTTACTAGAGAAACCGGCCGCAGTCAGAGCCGCTCACCAGACCGCGCGGGTGCAAGCCCTTACCTGGGGCCCAGGCGCTCTTCCCCCCCGCTTCTCACTGGCTGATTCTCTCCCGTCCCTAACGGGCCAGATTCAAGCACGGCGAGCCGACTGCAGGAGCCCCAGGATAAGCTTTCCCGGAAGACTGGCTTTGGGACGGACAAGCATGCTTTTCCTTCTGCCTGAAGTTTGGGTCGCCGCGCGCCTGTCGCCGAGGGAGGGCCCCGGACGCGGACGCACAGGGCGAGGCGCGCGCTTCTGCCCCCACCGAGGCCCGTGTGGATTGTCCGCCGGAGGATCGGTCTTTATGAAATCAGCCTCGCTGTGCTTCTGCGCTGTGTTTATGAAATGATGTCGTCGTTCTCGCCCCTTCTCTTGTTTGCTTTGAGGACAGGGCTGAGAGCCAGGAGGCTCTGGAATCCTGCCACTTGCCGAGCTAGAGTGTGCCCGTGCGGGAGCCGGGAAGGGGGGCCCGGCCAGGCAGGGAAGTGGCCAGCGTGTTGTCACGTTCCTTTCCCTCATGCCTTTCTCCCCCCACCCCCCTTGTTTTTCAGGTAGTGAAGCGGACTTTAGCTCCTCGAGCAGCACGGGCAGCATTTCGGCCCCTGAGGTCCATATGTCTGCGGCGGGAAGCAAGCGGTCCTCTTTTTCACGCAAGTAGGCACCGTTTCCTGCTCTGTAATGAGTCAGAGGCTTTACACAGGTGACTTACCTGTACTCTATGCTTCTGCGGAACCACCTGGATGTCTGTCAGTTCATATTTTGTTATTATTCAGTGAGCAGGTTCTGCTTTTCGTAATGATTTGCAATCGGAACTTTTCACTGTCTTACCAAGGTGCTCACAGCGCTTGGCCAGGGTGTGCCCGCCCGGCCTCTCTCATCCGGTCCTTGGCTGTGTGGCCAGTCATCCCTCTCTCCCTTCCCCTTCCCTCACTCACCTGTGTACTCACCTGGTATCAGGCTAGCAGTCTGCACTTCCTACCTGCCTCCCCTTCATGAATCTATCATCTCTTAGCCGTGAAGCCTCTGACTTCACCATTTCTTTCCTCTAGCTGAGTTTGCCTTTTATCCTCGTGAAAGAGATAGTGAGCCCTGACTCCTCCCAGCATTCACTTGGGGAAGGGGTGAAAAGAGAATAAAGCTCATAGACGGGTGGCCACGGCCATAGGAGGCATTAGAGCAGAATAGCTACGGATGCAGATGCCAGAGCCCGGCTGCCTGGGTGTGAATGCCAGCTCTATCATCGACAGGCTGTGTGGCCCTGAGCAAGTTGCTTAACTTCTCTGTGCCTCAGTTTCCTCATTTCTAAAATAGGGCTATAGTCATACCCACTTCAGAGAGTTTATTGTTAGGATTAAATTAGCTAATACGCATAAAGTGTGGGTCCGTGCTTGGAGCTTAGCAAGTATCAACAGATGTTCACCATGGATTTGGGTTGGGAGAAGAGAGGGACTGTGGGAAATCATAAGCTGTCATTCACATTTGATGGGAAAGGTGGTAAGCCCAGGATTCTCTCCTGCTATCCGTGACTTTATTCATTCAACAGGTATTTATTGAGCATCTACTATGAGGTTCTGGAGATATGGCAGTAAACAAAACTTCGTGGAAATTATATTCATTCTAGCAGGAAAAGAAAGACAATAAATACATAATATAATTACTTTCAAAAGCACAGAGAGAAAGGATATTGAGAGTAATGGGATGTACGGTATGTTTTGGATGGGGTGGTTCCAGGAGACGTGTGTGATACAGTGAGCTCTGAGCCAGGGACCCGAACAATTCAAAGGAGTGAGAAGCAAGACCTCTGAGGATGATTTGTCTTTAGATTTTGGGCAAATCACTTGACTTTCCTGGGCCACAGTGTCCAAGTTTGTAAAAAGAGGGTTGGACCACATAATTTTTAAGGTCCCTTCATGGAGAAAAACTGATGAGTTTCTAAAAACTTGGATTCCCAGGATTCAACAAGCAAATATTTTCCATGTCTCTTCAATAAGCAGAACATTCAGCTGATGTTTATAAAGGGACCTCTGAGACACCCTAGTGCACAGTTTTATTGTTAAAAATAAAGCTGAAGCCAGACAAACCTGTGACAAAAGAGTGAAGTCCACAATGAAAAAGCACAGTTTTTCTATCCCCAAACACAATCTACTTTGGATATAAAGTACCTCTGGGATCACAGAATATGAATATAAACATTTTCTGTGTAAATCAGTTGTGGCTTGCTCTGAGAATAAACCATTTTTCTAACCCATTCAAGAAAATTGGCACATACCTATAGTACAAGTACCAAAGAACAGAGAGCAAGAGAAAAAAGAAATGGCCTGTCAAAGAAGCCAATTTTATTAAGCATCTCAAAAGGATTTGTGTTTGTGGTTAAATTCCAAGGTAATGTCAACAATACTGAGTGACTTAGAGAAAATCATCTAGTCTGGAATCCGTGGTTTCTCCAAGTGACTAAAAATTGATGTTAAACATAAAATAGCTAAATAGAATTATGTGCAAATCAGATACATGCATAATAGATGGAAAATTGGAATTGGCAGTGTTCTATCCATTATCCTCACTTTTTTTTTTTTTAATCTGGCCCAGGCACAGAGCACAGTCAGTAGATTTCTGTGATGGGATATCTCAGGCGTTTCACATAATTTTTGTTCTACAGGATGATGCATTGAGGGCGACTCCTCGAGATGGGTCGGGTATCCTTGCCAAACTGTATAATAGCTTCTGATCCTTTTAAATGGCTTGCTCCTCCTATAATAAATGAATTTTCTCTGTGGAGAATTAGCTCCTGGGAGGAAGGCGAGCAGGAACATTTGGTGAAGGGGTGGGAAAAATAAATGACAGGTGGAGTTGGTGAGAATATTTTTGATTGGATTTTAAAAACAAAACTTAAAGATTTGCAAATGATCTCTTCTTACAGAAGACCAACTCTGCTGACATTTCTGAGGAATTCTCTCTCTCTCTCTTTTTTAAAGATTTATTTATTTATTTTAGAGAGAGAGAGAGAGAGAGAGGGGAGGGACAGAGGAAGGAGAGTCTTAAGCAGACTCCAGACTGAGCTGAGGGCTCAATCCCAATACCCTGAGTTCATGACCTGAGCCAAAACCAAGAGCTGGACACTTAACCGAATGCGCCATCCAGGCACCCCTGAGGAATTCTCTTTCTTAAACTAAAATCCTAATCTGACCAAGGGCAGATAGAAGTGAGAAGGAAAAAAAAAAATTTGGAATGTGGAGTCAGACATGGGCTTGAGTTTATCCTCCATTACTTATTATGTACATGAGCCAGAGCCCCGAGCCTTATTGTTCTGGAAAATGGGGGTTATAGTGTCATCCACCTCACTGAGTTAAATGAGCTAATGTATGAGTGCTTAACATGGTGCCCAGAATTTTGTAAAAGGGTCATAAATGAATATTTTCATTAGTACTGATAAAAATAATACCGATGGACATAATAATGAAGATGATGACTGTGGTGATGATGATCATCTTAGTTTGCTCAGGCTGCCATCACAAAATATCACAGGCTGGGGGGCTCACACAGCAGGAATTCACCTTCTCACAATTCTGGAGGCTAGAAGTCCAAGATCCAGGTGTCAGCAGGATTGGCTTCTTTGGAAGCCTCTCTCCTTGGCTTAGTGATGGCCATCTTATCTCTGCTTCTACAACAGAACCTTTCTCTGGGCCTCTGTCCACGTTTCCTCTTCTTGTAAGGACACTAGTCAAATTGGAATAGGATTTAATTGGATTTAATTACCTTTCTTAAAAGCCATGTTTCCAAATACAGTCACATTCTTAGGGACTGGGGGTTGGGACTTCCACATTATGAATTGGGGGGGGGCACCATTGAGCCCATAACAGTAATCATGGTGATGACAATGATAGTAATGTTGCCTTGAAGTAAAGGACAACGTCGGGGGCGGGGGGGGGGGGGCAGATAGAAATTCACCTGGACCCCTTGTAAGGTTCCCTTCTCTTTCTCTTCATTTCCATTTACTGTGTTCAAGTGTGCAGGAAGGGACAGGGTCAGCAGAATTCTGTCTCTTCTTTGTGGACTGCATTCTTCTTGTCCACCAGACCAAGGGGTTTAGGGTGGGCTGAGGAAGGTAGCATGGGGTTTGCCTGGCCATGGCCACAGCAAACATGGAACCCTGGCCTCTTCTTGAAAATGTTTTGCAATGACTTTTTACCCCTATGTGCTAGCATTCGAACTGAACTAAATGTAAGGAACAGGACTGATACTTTTAAGCATGTAGTTTCTTTTTTAAAAGTCAGTTATTATGGTCTAACCACTCATTTCCTGAAATATATTTGAAGATTTGACTGTACTTTAGTAATGTTTAATACTTGAAGAGATTTTGCTTTATTCAGTATAGCAGATGAGTTCTTCAAAATACCCATCTAATTTCATTTGTATCTTAGTGACTGCACTGCAGTAAAAGTCAGTGGTGAATTCTTCAGGTAATAACCACATCCATAGCCAGCACCTAACATACCTGTTTACAAGCCCCGAATAATATCTCCTATTTGTGTAAAGTAGGAAGGAGACATTTCTGTAGAATTAAAACCTCTGTATTTAGATCTTCGTTCGGCTGTGTGTTCTTGGACCAGATTTTTCCCTGAACCTCAGTTACGTCACATAACTGACTAGTCCACGTAATGTAAATGAGAGGTAATAATTGTACCAGCTTTATAGCATGATGGTCAAAATGAAGTATGTGCCCCTAAAGCATCTGGAACAGGGCTGGGGTCTCAGAAGGTCGTTGGTGAAGGTCGACTCAGAAGAGAATTGCCCAGGTCAAACTCAGGGCTAGCTCTTTACTCTCCGTCCTGACTTGTGGTGGTTAACCCTGCATACGTCTCACTGTCACATTCAGAAATAGGGAGGCCGGCTGGAGTAGGCTCAGAAGTGAAGTGTGGAGAAGCAGATCGAAGCCAGAGCCCGTGTTCTTTTCTGCTGCTCAGCCCAGCACCACTGGCTGCTGGAGTTGGTCTGTCACAAAGCCATCAGCCCATCTGTTCCATATAAAGTGTCCCCTTCTCACAAAAAGGAGGCAGAGTCTATCTGGGTGACTTCAAAAGGAAAGAACTTTTTAACTTTAGAATTTGGTGATGTTTCATTTATATGTGATTTCCTGGGTTGACAGCTAGTTGAAATTGCATTTGGTTTTAAGTGAGTGCGGTTTCGGAGCCAAGTACATCTATACCACACGCACGCTCACATTTGCATGCGTTTCTCCTTGAGATTGTCTGTCGGATGCAGCTGTCATCGAAATTGCGAAGAGGGGATGGTCAAAAAGCAGTGTTTCTGTATGACACGTATCTTGTTCTCTTTTATTTTCTTGTAATGTCATCAAGAAATATTCCTGACACCGAACTTTTATCCTATTTAAGTAATTTCAACATTCTCAGGTGGCTTCCTTACATAGTGGGTGTCAAATCTCGGGACCTAGATGGATAGGGAAGCCCAAACCAGTTGATCCTGTAATAATATCCTACAGCTGAATTGCCTTTCACATCTTATCAGATGCACTCACATGCATTCTTTGATTCATATCAACTCTGTGAGGAAGACAAGAAAGGTTATTATGGGTCCCTGTGTATTAAGTAGCTTACTTGCCTAAGTTCCTAGTAAGTGGTGGTGCCAGGGCTCAGACCCAGTTTATCCATTTAGTCATCGTTTCGGGAGCTCCCAGCATGTGCCAGGAAGCAGTGGGGACAGAACAGACTGTGCTCCTGCCCTGGAAATGCCCTCATCTGGCAGGAAGGACACACAGTGTGGGGTTGTGATGCCACGAGATAAATTCCAGAATGGACTTTTGCAGAGAGTACTAGGGACCACCGAGGAGCCACATGCACACAAGCCTAGAGAAGGAAGAAGCCAGAGAAGGCTGCTTGGAGTAGGCTCCCATTGGTCTCGAAGTTGGAAATATCCCAAGGCTTAGGGTGGGGAGCAGGAGGATGTTCTAGGCAGAGAAAATTATAAGTTCAAAAACATAAAGGTGCTGGAGAGCGTGAGTCATCAGGAAACTGTAAGTTGTTTGGAATTCTGGAATACAGAGGGAGGAGTGGTAAAGGATGGGTTGGATTGGGAGGTGGGATTGGACCTCATGAGGCACTGGGGAGCCATTGAATGGCTTTGAAGACAGTGATATCCGGTTTCATTTTAGAAAGGCCACTCCAGCCAGAAAATCAGCCTCCTTGCTGAGGGGGCAAGATGACTGGCCAGGGAGCCAGGAGAGGGCTGTTACAACATTTCAGCAGTTAAATGATTAAGGTTGTGTTCAGTCATTGGAGCATGGAAAGAAAAGGAAAGAAAAGAGGTGGTTAAAACTATAGGCTTGAGACATTTGTTATGTTCATCTGTCCTCTTTTCTCTTCCTCCTTTGTGGGCAACAACCCCTTTTTCCTCATACTCCAAATGAACCATCCTAGTTTTCTGACCCCAACATGAACCGAACCCAAACATGTTTAAGCTGAAACAAGTGTACTGGAACAGCCTTCAAAGGGAACCTCAACCAAATCAATGTGGGTTGAGCTCTTAACAAGCATTGAGATTAATCCAAAACCAGCTTTATGGTCAGAAACCATGTGCACGAATGGCAGAGGGTGAGGCTGCCTGTGCTCATGGCAGAGGAAAGAAATCTCAGGCAGGTGGGAAGATGGCTGCTGGTAAGGACAGTTTGCAATAAGTAATTATGTTGCCCTTTCAACTCTGTACATTGGCTTTCCTTAGTTGTAACTAGCCTTACGCCGGAGCCAAGTATTAGCATTTGAGCCCTGGTCGCCCCAAGCATGTGAACATTTTACATGCTTTTCTCCCAGCCGAGGTCCCCATGGGCGGAGTAATGGAGCTTCGTCATACAAGTCTGGCAACAGCCCACCCTCCCCACGGGAGAAGGACTTTCTGTCCATGCTGTGCAGGAATCAGCTGAGTCCCGTTAACATCCATCCCAGTTACGCGCCTTCCTCCCCAAGTAGTAGCAACTCCGGCTCCTACAAAGGAAGCGACGGCAGCCCAGTCATGAGGTGAGTGCCGCTCATCTCCAGCTCCCAGTTCAGAGTTTGCCCTCCTCGGTAAGTTTTCTTTCAAACACTTAAAAAAAAAAAAAAAGGTATGCAACTCTCGAGCGCCTGCCTTACTCTGTAGTAAGTCACTTCTCTTTCCTTTCCTGCACTCAGCGAATCCTTCAAGGGCAGCTGCAGAAAGAACACAAAGCAGTTTCTGCTAAGGCTCGGCAGTCCGAGGAGTGACTGGCCAGGGAGGAAAAGTGGCACAGGGCAGTAGGAGGGACCTACACCTTTCCCTCAGAACAGGAAAGACTCACTCTCGTGTTCACCGTTCATTCAAACATCAGATATGTGTTGAGTACCACGTTGTGCCAGGCACCGTGTAGAGCACTGGGAATGGGACAGTGAACGGCAGAGAGGGTCCCTGTGCTTACTGCCCGGAGGATACCAAAGACATTGCTCGTCTAATGACAAAAACACATTTCAGGTTATTCTGCGAGTACCTGTTGCTGTATGTATATTTAAGAGGTCAGGAGGGGATCCAGCTCAGTCTGGAGGGATCAGAGGAGGCCTCTGTGAGGAAATGACATTGAAACAAAATCTGAAGGTCAAGCAAGGAATTATTGGTCCCGGGGCGGTGGGGGGCGGGGAAGGGCGGGAGGTTCTGGAAAAAAGGACCTATGCAACCAAGGGGGCCCAATAGGAGCACTAGAAGGTTGGGAGCTGGACACAGGCCATCTTGGATGGAGCGCAGGCTCATGGGGGAGCAGGGCGAGTGTAGCGGCCTGGGCTGGCTCCAGAGTCAGGGAGGAAGCTGCCAGCCCTCCTTCCTCAGTCTTCCTCCTCCTGGGTGGCCATTCTCGTTTGTCAGCCCTCGTACAGCAGGGATGCCCAGCACTTGGCCAGGCCTGAGCGGGGCTGACATTCCAGCTCAGGACGTTTTCTCGAACCCAGGGCACTCTGGTGACGGTGGAGTAGCCTTTTCGCTTTGGAAGAAGGAAACTTTCCTCCAGATGGGCCCCCTCACAGCGGGGATTGATCTCGGAACCTTTTGAATCCAGCTCCTAACAATCAGAATGTTAGGCAGTGGCACATTGTGTGGGAAGTCAGGACGTCTCGCTGCTGGCCTTCCTTTGCGCCCGCCCGGCTCATTGTCCTCTGATCTAACAGTGTTGTACTCTGAACCCACAGGCAGGCCCATGCACAATTGTGCATTATTTTGTATGAGGTCATTCCTAAGCCATAGAAAATTCTCCCTCTCCACTGTCTCCACCCTCTCCACAAACACCCTCCCCACAGTCTCCCAAGTAATGCGCAGTCCTGAGATGGCAGGTAGAGTCCAGTCGCCCTTCCCAAGGGAAGCACGCGTTCTCGAGCTGTAAGACCCCAGCGCGCGGCCGCCATCCCTTCTCAAGCTGTTAGCTTCGCCTTAACTTTTTTTTTTTTACAGAAGACGTAACATTTCATTGCTTGGATTATTTCAGGCGCTCTGGAAGGTACATGTCCTGTGGTGAAAATCATGGTGTCAAGCCCCCAAATCCAGAGCAATATTTGACTCCTCTGCAGCAGAAAGAGGTCACAGTGAGGCACCTGAAGACCAAGCTGAAGGAATCTGAGCGCCGACTTTATGAAAGGTGAACCTGCACTCCTTTCACCCTGATTTAGGGCGGTTTCTTTTTCCATAAAGTGAAATACAAGTCCACACTCTAGAGAAATAGAAAAGAAGAAAAATGATTTCCTTGAATTTTTGCCAAATTCCCTAAACCGGTCTTTCAAAAGAGCCCTTTCGTATTCCTGCATGATTTGGTGTTTCAGGAGTTCAGGGGACCCTCTCAGGTTAGAGCGGGCCGCCTACTTTTTCTGGGTGTGTACGGCTTTGACATGAAGTGTTGGGTGTGTACGTGGCTATTTTTAAATGGCAGGAACACTCACAGGAACAATCCCATACTTCCAGCAGAAAGGGTCACACACGGGGGCCCTATTAAGCCCTGTTTATCTCTCTGAGAGCGTGGATGGCCGTGTGTATTGTGTGATTCCTGCAAGCTATTTCTGTGCTGAAGGAAGAGGTTCATTATTCTTGGCTAAGTGTTAAAGTAAAAAAACAAAAACCAAAAAACAGCCCATGCTTCTGAGATCTTATCTAGGAGAGAAAAGACCTTTGACATCTTGGGGCAGGCCAGATTTTCTGCTTAATGATTTTCCCCTGGAACATTCTGGGATAGCGGACAGAGCTCTGACCAGGGTAGCTGTGAACTCGGGGTGAGGATAGCATGAGTCAGACCTTACTTTCTGGAAGTCTTTGTTTATGATTTGAGAATCTACGGGAGGGTTTGAGCACTCATGGCAGGGAAGCATGGGAAGGCACTGAACTGGAGAACACTCAGATCTAAACTAAGAGAAGCAAAACTGACACCATCCCTTCATATATATCAGGATCCTCACTGCCTGGTCTTCATATCCACTGAGAATGTGAGGACTTGTATTTACATCGACTATGAAGAAATGGTATGTCAGGAAGAACTTTTCGACAAAGATCTTGAGATAGGGTCCCGTGAGGGATCTAAAACAGTGGGATGGATTTTCTTCAGTGTAGGATGGATCCCACATCCTCTTACCTTGAGAAGAGACAGAATAATCAACTTTTCACACAGTCTTTGCAACATGCAGCATTTTCTAATTTAAAAAAAATTCAGATTATTACATGATCAGAACACTGCTGCAGGCCATAACTTAACCCGCCTGCCTTCTGTCTGTGATGGGTAATTAAAAGTGAAAGGAACTTTCCTTCCACAAAGTGTAGACATAGGAAAGGGTAGGCTATGGATGTACAAGCAGGCAAAGAAGCTCTAATGCGATGTCGTAACAAAATTTCAAATATTAAGTACTGAACAGAGGATAATGCCTATACTTAGCGTGCTGCCTGGCAGATAGTGAGCACTCAGGAAGAAAACAAACAGTCGCATTTTTGATTCTGAGTCTAGTTATTATCATTTTTGCTATTTTACAACTAAGGGGGGCAGTTCCTGGCTAATACGTGTGAGGGGCAACTCCGAAGTGATTTAGCCTCCGCGTTTCAAGGGGAAGAGCACGGGCTCTGGGCCGCGCGGCCGAAGGGCCGTCTGCACGGTCGAAGGAGCCGTGCCCTTAGCCGCGCGTGTCTTCTCGCCGCAGGGAAAGCGAGATCGCGGAGCTCAAGTCCCAGCTGGCCCGCATGAGGGAGGACTGGATTGAGGAAGAGTGCCACCGCGTGGAAGCGCAGCTGGCCCTGAAGGAAGCCAGGAAAGAGATCAAACAGCTCCGACAGGTCATCGAAACGATGCGGAGCAGCTTGGCTGATAAAGATAAAGGCATTCAGAAGTATTTTGTGGACATCAACATCCAGAACAAGAAGTTGGAGTCCCTGCTGCAGAGCATGGAGATGGCGCACAGCGGCGCTCTGAGGGATGAACTGTGCCTGGACTTCCCGTGCGATTCCCCGCAGAAAAGCTTACCCCCCAGCGCCCCTTTTGGCAAGATGGCGGATGGGCTGTCTCTGGAGGCGCAGGGCATGGAGGAGGGGGCTGGCAGCGAGCTGCTGGTGGGAGATGGTATGGCCGACGGCACGGATCTGTTTGATGGCATGGTGACGGCCGCCGCCGCCGCCACCGAGGCCCCCGACCCGGAGCTTCTTCGATCAGCCCCCGGGGCCCAGGCCCTCGGGCTCCTCCCCCTGGCCGGGGCCCAGGAAGCGGCCCGAGCGCTGGTGGAGCGGGCCGTGCAGACCGACGTGGTGCCCTACAGCCCTGCGGTCTCGGAGCTCATTCGGCATGTGCTCAAGCTCCAGGACCCCTGTCCCTCGGGCTCAGCCTCCCCTGATGAGCCCGGGGCTGACTCGACACAAAGCTTCCCCGAGTGCATCTCCGCATTCCCGGTTGATCTAACGCCAAGAAATCCCAACTCCGCCATCCTTTTGTCTCCCGGGGAGACCCCGTCCGCCGCGGGGGGTCCGGAAGCCCCTGCAAACCGCCTCATGAGAGAGCTGGATTTTGCAGGCTCCACGGAGGAGAGACTGGACGGCGTCCGCCCGCTGCCCCGGGGGGCCGTCGGGAGGCAGTACTGGAGCAGCAGCTTCCTGGTGGATCTCCTGGCCGTGGCTGCCCCGGTGGTGCCCACGGTTCTGTGGGCATTCAGTACTCAGAGAGGGGCGACCGATCCCGTCTACAACATCGGCGCGCTGCTGCGGGGCTGCTGTGTGGTCGCCCTGCATTCGCTCCGCCGCAGCGCCTCCCGCGGCAAAACCTGAAGACAAGTTGTCCCGTGGGGCGTGCTGCCCGGCGGGGAGACAGCGGGTCGACCTGGGGCGGTCTCTAGTCTGTCGTTTTGCTCCTCGGTATTTGATTTGCACTATATTTAGTTGACACCTGTTCACTGTTTAAAACTGGAGGTATCTTCAAAGGCATGGAGACGTGGTTCAAGTTAAATGTCCCACCAGTGGTAGAGAAAGCATGCTCCTGACCCTGCCGTGTCGTCCGAGGTACCCGTGCTTATCCTAGTGGTTCAGGAAGAGAAAATGCAGAGTTTGCACTTTCAGGACAGCTTCTGTAAGGCTGGCATGTTAGCTCCTTGCTTTGCTTTGTGCCCTTTTAAAATGTGTAATTGTTACAGCATTCCAGTGGTCTTGTGCACAGCAGGGGACTGTAACCAAAAATAAAACTGTATTCGTGTAATTGGTTTGAAGAAGTCTTGAATAGCTCCTTAGTGTCTTACTTGGGGTTGATAAGGTTTGAGTGTTCGCAGTTTTTTACTAAATGTAGCTCCAGAGTCGGAAAATGGCTTGTTTGTTCCTAAACCTGTTAATTGATGAAACTGTATGTAAGTTTACTATGTATTAACTTATTTTTTGCTTATTATATAGCGTTCTATTGGAAATTGTAACCACAACACACTTCAGCATGATGAAAATAAAGATTAGTGTTTCCATTTAAATAAATGTTTTATCCTCCTATAAAATAATTATCTGTTTAGTTTTACTCCTGTATATGGTAAGAAAGACTAAATGGATAGATCCTTTCTTCTTTGTCAATAGGGGTCTATAAAAATGGAATTAACTTAAGAAATGAGAAGGGGAAAATTATTAAAGAAACGGGAGGGTTTCCTACTGTCTTTAAAAAAGCATTGCTTCTGAATAAAAGTAGCTTTGATTGTTTGCTCTGAAATTACCCATACACTTGTTTGTTCATATGTTTATGCGCTAAGGATGTGTTGAGTATTTGCAAAAAAAGTTGGGTTGCATATTAAGGTTACAGAGAGGGAGAACATGCTAATACCGTGTGCTTCGTCCCCTTGGAATAATAGGGTGAGGGTGGGTGGCTGGGAAGGACGAGATAATATTTGATGTATATTACCTTATTTATTCCTCACATCAAATTTGTGAGGTGGGTATTATTCTATTTTACAGATAAGGGAGCTAAACCCCAAAGAGGTAAACCACTCACAATTCCATGGTTTACCTTAGAAGCCAGGATTTCAAGTGTCTGCAAAGCAAATGTTTTTTCCACTGTAAAGGGAAAAAGAGATGAGACTATCCTAAGTTTGCACCCAGAAACTCTCCTTCTCTAGCACTTACCACTTTTAAACATACTGTATTTTTACTTGATTTACTTGTCTTGATTATTGCCCATCTCTCCCACTAAAGTATTAGGTTTCTGAGGGTAGGATCTGTGTCCTGTTTTGTTCACAGATGTATATCAAGAACTTAGAACAGTATGTGGCACATAGTAGGGGTTCTAAAAATAGCCTTTGAATGAATTAATTCATCCAACAAATACTTACTGGGTGCTAGGCACTTTACCAGATCAGCCATCAATACTAAAGGAGGGAGACAAGGCTTCTGCCCTCAGGGAGCTTAGGTTCTGTCTGTAAAAGCCCCAGAACATGCCTACAAATGAAGAAGATCATTTTAGATGAAGGTAAGTACTTCCAAGCAAATAAAGTGTTTTGAACAAGAGTGACAGGGGTAAAGGTAAGGAACAAATCTCTGAAGAATAAATAACACTAGTACTAATGGATTAAAAAGAGCCAGGTATGTGAAGATACCGGGGTAAAATGTTGCAAAAAGAACAGATGCAAAGGCCCTGAGTCAGAAAAGGATGGGACATGTGACCAGGGCAACAAGGAGGCCAGGGTGGCTAGAGCGGAGTAAGAAGTGTGGGAGGCGGGCTACTGGAGAAGCCCACAAGAGGCTAGTCCATATGGGGCCATGTAAACCACGGTAGGGTTGGTCTGAATTGATCCCTAGTGCAATGAGAAATGTGAATGGACTTTAAACAGGACAATGATACGATCTGCTTTTTTTTTTTTTTTTTTTTTAATTATGGCTGCCGTGTGTAGGATGTATCGTAAGCGGGAAGGAGTGGGTGCAGGGAGACCACTGTAATAGTCTGGATGAGTGATTATGACAACATGGACGTGGAGGTGGACCTAGAGATTAAAGTTGAATAAAGATACAACTTGAAGACCAAACTGAGGTGATTTGTGGAGAGATTGGATGTGGGGAGGTGATGCGGTAGAGTTAAAGGAAGAGAGAAATTAAGGATGACTCTCAGGTTTTTACTTGAGCACCTGGGTCAATGGTGGTGCCATTTACTGAGAATGGAAAGGGAAACACGTTTAGGAGAATAATTTTGAGATGTCAAGTGAATATCTATGTGGAAATGTCGAGTAATTGCATATATGGATGTGAAAACCACAGGCATTGTCAGAGCTAGAGTCATAAAATTGAGGTTCTTCAGCGTTTATATACTATTTAAAACCACGAATTGGATGAAATCATCCAGAGAGTAGAAAGAAGAGAAGAAAGCCAAAGACGGACCTAGGGCACATCCACATTCAGATAGAGATAGAGGATAGAGAACCAACAAAACAAGCTGGGAAGAGTCAGTCCAAAGGTAGGAGAAGAACCAGGGGAAGGTGGTATTGTGAAAACCAAGAGAGGGCAGTGATTTAAGAGTGGAGTGGTCAACTGTGTGGAAATCCAAGAAGCTGAGTAACACAAGAACAGATACATGCCCACTGGCTTTGACGAAGTCTTAGCGACTGTCAAGATCCTTCCTTTGGAGAAGTGGAGATGGAAGCCAGTTGAAGTGGGTTAGAGAGTGAATGGAGGAGGAAAAGTAGAAATCAATGTGTACTGTTAATTTTTTTTTTTAAGTTTTACTGAAAGGGAGCAGGGACGTGGGTGGTAATTATAAGGTAATATGAGTTACAAGTGTTTATTTTTCAATATGGAGAGGGGATAGAACGTGTCTGTGTGCTTTTGTAGTTGAGCAATGGAGAAAAAGAAATTACTAACCCAGGGAAGGAAGGATTCATGGAGGGAGGAAAGCGCTTGGGAAGATGAGAAGGGATGGGACGTCCGTCGGGTACGAGGATATAGGTGTGGAAAGAGGTGGTTTGATAGGGCGTTTCTTCTCCTGGAGTACACAGGTGCCTCAGGACACACATGGCCCCTTAGCACACTGTAGAGCAATTTGGCTGAAATGGAAGGGAAACTCTTTCTGGAGATGAATAATCGGAAATGTCCCAAAATAATGAGCCGCGCTGACTCAGGTCCCTTCCTGTAGTCCAGCCCCAGCCTCGACCAATACCTCAATGCCGTTATCTTCCTTACAGTCCCTCCTTGTGTCTATTTTTGGTCGTTGCAAAATTAAAGCATTTTTACCTTAAGAAAAAATATAAGCTTGTTTTCGGGATCCCCTATTGCTCCAGAAATGAATATAACACACAAACTCGGAGCTGTTCTTCAACAGTTCAAGATGGATGGAAAATGGGCTCTGGTGAAGAAGAATTCTCCATGAACCACAAATATTTATGTTGATTATCAAATTAGAGGCAGCTGATCACGAACAGTGACTTGCTTTGTCATAATGATCTGTAACCCTCTTTCAGTAAACCAGAAGATGCAAACAAAATGACCTCATCTGAAACATTGGACACTGAGTGTCCTTTCCACACTGAAACAAACGTGTGCAAAGGTGAAGCAGGAGATCCTGGACCTGTTGTTCTGTTTTTCTTTTCCTCACCCTCAGCCTCCCCGCCCTTCCTCCTCCTTCTTCAGGGTTTCAGTATGTATAGTCTGTGGAAAATTACTGCTTTTATTCAGAGCAGCCTCTCACAGATGAGTCCCTTGGAGCAAATAAAAGATGGAACATAGCTTGCCTTTCGGAAGCCCAAGGCGTTGGCTGGTTTTGTGGACAGGATGATCTGATCTCATAGAAGCACTCAAAGTTGCATTCAGTAATTTGTGTGCCTGTGATGTACAAATAGGCAGGAAAATGGAAAAAGAAGAACAATTCCACCCTATTGAATAAATTGCTGTCCCATCAAAGCAAATGTTAAATATTTCCTACAGTTATGTGTGCAAACATTCCAATTTATAAGAAAAGATTTTTTTCCCAAAGGGATATGCTGATCTTTCCAAGTTGAGCTGTTCAGAAAGGGGGGAAAAATGCATTACACTCAGATGCCAAGCATTTCTGACATTTGTGGCAGGAGAAAAAGGAAGTCTGTGATTTACATCTATCATGGGCCCTGCCTAAGTAATGTTTAGGTCTGATATGTTTTTCTCTTGAGGACTTTTCATTTTAAAAGGTTTAGGGGCAGTTTCCAATTTCCATTTTGGCTCAGTGAGCACTTCTACAAACTTCATCTATTCCCCGTCTTACCAGGCAAAGTGTGTACAATGAAGCAGTAACGTAGGAAATTAAAACTAATGGTTTTTAGCAATCAAATCTTGAAAGAATGTCAAACTCCCAGTTGTCCCAAACACACACAATTAGAAAGTCCACATAGAATAAGACAGGTGGATATCAGGTAAGATTTTTAAGCCATTGGAAGACATGCTCTGCTGCGACTACTGATTCTCGGGCAGTCACAATGGCTGTGATGGCTGATGGTTACAACCGTCATTCCAATTTTTAAAATCTCAAAAAGATTGGAATGCTACTCATAAGGGTTTGTATTAAAAGATTGGAATACTTCGGGTGCCTGGGTGGCTCGGTAGGCTAAGCGTCTGCCTTCGGCTCAGGTCATGATCTCAGGGTGCTGGGATCGAGCCCAGCCTTGGGATCCTTGCTCAGCAGGGAGCCTGCTTCTCCCTCTGCCTGCCGCTTCCCCCCTGCTTGTGCTCTCTCACTCTCTGTCTCTGATAAATAAAATCTTAAAAAAAAAAAAAAAAAGATGGGAATACTTCAGTACTGTTAAGTTTTGTAAAAGGTGTATCTCTTTTGAAAGATGTTTTCCACATAAAAATCCCCATACATAAGCCACATAAAAGTGAAGTTTGGGCACGGGGGCACCAGGCCCGGAGCCCTGCCATTTGCCTCCCTCTCGTCCCCTGTAGTGGTCTCAGCATCACCTCTGAGAATAGCTAGGAAACCAGCTCACTAAATATCGGGTGCGTTGAAAACTGCCAGTCACCTGCGGGGTGACTCCCAGTCCCCGGGACTAGTATTCTGGGCAGTGCTAAAGAGCTCGATCCTCTACTGTGCTAAACAGACGAATGCTTCGTGGAGGTGTTTTCTTTTTGTTTTTTTTTTAATATTTTATTTATTTTTTTTAAGATTTTTTATTTGCGAGAGAGAGAATGAGAGACAGAGAGCATGAGAAGGGGGAGGGTCAGAGGGAGAAGCAGACCCCCAGCTGAGCAGGGAGCCCGATGCGGGACTCGATCCCAGGACTCCAGGATCATGACCTGAGCCAAAGGCAGTCGCTTAACCAACTGAGCCACCCAGGCGCCCCGTGGAGGTGTTTTCTAATCTTTCCTCCCACAAGTGTGTTTGCCAGTGATCTGCTGGTTTAACTGTGAGGAGGATCTCGCTCCCGAGCTCGTCTCATCATCACCTGAGGATGCGCAAGGATGCTGGCTGGAGCAGCCCGTCTGGCTCCTTGTGCATGTGCTGAAGGGCAGGCATCCTCCCCCGCTGCTCCTCGCTGCCCTAGAGTTCCTCCCCATGGTGATCTTATCTGACCTGCCGTCAGGGACAGTTTCACTCTCATTCCCTGAAGATGTTTGATCAAAGTGATTCTGGGTAACTTTGAAAACTTTGAAAAATTTTGCCAGACTGGAGTTGTAATGAACTGGAGTATGAAAACCATTAACAGCGGCAATGTTTCTCCAATCTGATGGTGCGGTAAGGCCCTCCCTCCCCTTCCTGGCAATCCGATAGCTCACGGTGTTTGCAGTGGTCTGCCAGCCTTACTTTCTACAGTAAACAATAGGTGCTGGCATTTTAAACTGACCTTTCATTCTTCTGAACCAGCACATTATTTCTGGCTCGTTGGTTATATAGAGAAAACCAATGACGAAAGCAGTCTTAATAATTTTCCCATCTCCCACTGAAAGCAGTCCATGGAAAAGTCTTAAAAATGATGACCCATGTAATTATCTTACTCCACGAGGGTTCCTTCTAATCAAGACAGATTGGCAGTTATGAGGTTCAGATGTGCTGTGAAGCTTCAAAAAGAAATAAAAAGCACCTATATTCTTATGTACTTTAAACTTAAATGAAGTGAAATATATCTGTAGCCTTACATATATCTTCATTTACCACTAAAAAGTCAAAAAACTTTTTAAAAATTTATTTCTTAAGCCAATATATCTAATGATGACATTTTTCTCCATAAAGTAGGTAAGCACTGGTTTTATTTAGGAATAATCGACAGGTTTGGAAACTGCCTTGATGTATAAATTAAGAATTGACTATTTTAACAAATGAAACTGATTTGGGGCAGAAGAAGTTAATATCTTATTAATGAGCCAAAATTGATATAACAGTAAGAAACCATAATGATTTACCTCAATATACCACCAACTTAGAGTATGTCTTTTGAATTTCCTAGGCCTGGAAATGATTTTTTCTGTGTCATTTATACTCTCAATCAGATTCTAAAGACACACATTCAGAAGATAACCGGACAAGGTCAGGGACACAGGTTGTGCAGGAGGGTCTCTGGGTACAGCCGTGGTCTGCACATGCACAAAACCTGTGACCTTGGCCTCATTGGAACAATGATCCAATCAAGTGAGCTAATTGGCCTGTTTTTGCAACTGTGTGAATATAAACCACATTTCATTTCGCCTTGATTATATCTGACCCAAGTAAACTGGGAATACAGTCATAATGGCATTGACATTCAACTATGGTTGTTATTTATATAACAATAAAAAAGCAAACTAATTTCCTTATTTGTTAAATAAGTTCTTAGGAAACACAAATAGGTGTTACCTACTATAATTTGTAACATTTTCACTGAGCTAAGAACTAGATAGGAAATTCTAATGGTGAACTTTCGGCAGGGGGCAGTTTCTAGCGAAGAGGGCTTTGAAATCATAGTCCACGTTGAATGCTGATTAACCACTAAGGTAACCTGCCCTCAAAGCTTGCTGTTTTCCTGTTAATCAAGCACACAACTGCCTTTCTAAGCCTTGGTTTCTTCGTATGTGCAATGGGGTAAGGTCTACCTCACTGGATTGGGAAGAGTCATTGATACAGACTCTCAGATACCGCTGAACACATAATGCTTTCCCTCTCTTAATGGAATTTGCAGTTCACCGTAAAGGTGTGTAAAGATTCATATGGCAAGATCAGCCAACCTCTCCCATTGTTCACAGGGAGGGGGCTGCCAAGAGTGCACAGCAAAGTGTGGAATCCTAACAACTGCCATGTGCTGTTTACGTATGTGCCACAGGCACTATGATGAACACTTAAGAGTTTCAGTCGATCCTTAAAACCGTCATCTTCATTTAAATGATTCGCAAACTCAGGCAATTTAATACTGCCCCATTTCTACAGCTCTGAGAACTCTGAGCTCTCAGAATTGATGCAGTCAGATCAATATATAGGCAAAGCACCTGTATTAATATCCGTGGAAGTTCCCAGAAGGGAAGGCTGCAGTTACCCTGGTTGGCCACACACTTCTAGCCTAAGTTTCTCCGCAAAAGCTCCTGCTTGGTGAATTAGCGGGTGTTAGTAGCAGGTATTCAGGGTAGAAGTCCGGGGGGGTGGGGGGGAGCGTGGAGGAGGTGCTAGGTATGTGCGCAAGAGGGTGTTCCTAGAGTAGTGTCTGTTTCCAGCTCTGGAAGATCAAGGCTTTTGGTGAAAAGAAGCTATGACTCTCAAAGCTTACCCTGGTTCCTTACTGGGCATGCCCAACGGCCACGACTAAGTGGCACGGAAAATAAAGTTGGGAAGCAAAGTAAAAGAACAGTTCAATACAAAAGGAGCCACAAGCTAATCCTATTAACCTTGGAACCCTGTTGGTTATATTAAAGTAGAGTAAATTATATTAAGATAAAAAGAGCTCCCTTTTGATATCAGGAATTTTAAAAATCTATTTAAACAGTAAACGCAAGTTTATTAAGTTATTCACTACTAAAGGAAGCTCTTCATGAAACCACCATCCTCCTCATCCCTCCAATTCATCTGAGGAGAAACTTCTTCCCAGAAACAATCTGTAAGCCCGAGTGCACCCCTACTGCCCAAAGTGGCTTCAGCCAAAACTACTCACCACAGTAACTGTTGTTTGCTTACACACCTTATGAAAGATTTCTTTAGAACAAGGGGCTAAAGGCTGTGAAAATCGTTGCAGTAGGTTAGTTTAAAGCTGAACTACGTAGGATTAAACAAGACGTGTGTTAGCTATATCTGGCCCAGTAATTACATCATTAGTGACAAAACAGGCTTTTTGGAACACTGGCCATGGTTAGATTTGCACTACACCAGTAGAGTCTAGAGTGCTGTTGGAAGCTCCATCCAGACGCCAGTTTCTGCAGCTATCACCATCTTCCCAACCACCAATCTTCATCTAAAAGAATAGCTGCCATCCTGGCCGGAGGCGAGTACATGTCAAAACAGGAATTTAAATGCTGAATTTTAAATTCTAATTTCTAAAATGTTGACTCAATTAAATATGCTACTAAAAAGGAGCCAGAGTTGGGGTGCCTGGGTGGCTCAGTCGTTAAGCGTCTGCCTTCGGCTCAGGTCATGATCCCAGGGGCCTGGGATTGAGTCCCACATCAGGCTCCCTGCATTGGGCTTCCTGCTCCACGGGAAGCCTGCTTCTCCCTCTCCCACTCCCCTTGCTTGTGTTCCCTCTCTCGCTGTCTCTCTGTCAAATAAATAAATAAAATCTTAAAAAAATAAAAATAAAAAGGAGCCAAAGTCAACTAGAAGATATCCTCAGCTACAGCTTAATAAGAGTGGAAACCATACATATATAGAGATACACAAAATACAAAGGTTCACATCCTGCACATCACTTGGTATCTCAATACACGAAATGCACAATTCAGATAATGGGTAGCATTTCACTAATTCTATCTATGCCTACCCATATTTCTTCTTTACTTTTACTAATAGTCTTCTAAGACTGGTAATTCTTAATTAAAACAAAAACAAACTATAAATTTCAAAGCTAAAAGTCAGTTTGTTACCATGAAGTGTTTATCAAATGTATTTAACTCACTTCACAACTTCTTTTGGGACCATATTACACCCAACTTAACACAGGAATTCAGTTTACATACCAAGAGAGGTTAAAAAAAAAAATCCCAAAATTGATCTTTATTCTTTTCATTAAAAAAATCTTTCTTTCTAATCATACAAACAATTTCTAACCAGTCTTTACTTCTTTTTTTTTTTAATTTTTTTAAAGGTTTTTTTTGTTTTGTTTTGTTTGACAGAGAGAGAGACAGCGAGAAAGGGAACACAAGCAGGGGGAGTAGGAGAGGGAGAAGCAGGCCTCCCGCCGAGCAGGGAGCCCCATGCGGGGGCTCGACCCCAGGACCCCGGGACCACAACCCGAGCCAAAGGCAGATGCCTAACGACTGAGCCACCCAGGCGCCCTTGATCAAACAAAAATAAAAAAGCCAACAAAAAAACAAAATCCCACATCATGAAAGTCATGACCAAAATAGACTTCAATACTTGTCAACTACTGGGGAAAAGCAGTAAAATTTATTGTACTAAAGGAGAGGTTATCCTTTATGAACCCCAAATTTAGAGAAATCATGTAGCATTCCCATAACTAAAAATAAATAAATACAAATAAGGGAAGAGAATACATTTATTATTAAAAATTTGAATCTAATTCTATTTAATTGGAAGTTTATTGGCAGAAGTTCTAATAAACATGATAACTGAAAATGTGGCTTGGGATTATAAAAAGCAGATTTTTACCAAAGTTAAATTTCAACTAGATTCTACAATCACATTTAGTCTAGGAGCTTAGGCTAAGGACTTAGGGTGATCTCACTGTACAGGCTGTGATTTTACTCTGAAATATCATTTTAATTCAAACATATCAGCAGTAGTTAGCCTGTAGAGGATCTAGGACACTAAAAAAACCCCACAGAATGTTAATTTTGGGCAACAACCTTTATGAAAGTGAAAATCTTTAAAAATTCTAAAGCCATAGAAAATCAGTCTGAAAGTATTTTGATCATGGAGAAAAAATTAATAGGATTTAAACTATCAAACCTATTTTTTCCCTGTGAACACAGCATGTATCTATTTCCTTGAAACTCTTTTAGAGGCAGTCAACACCCCAAAATAAAAATATTATTCCTATCTCAGCTTAAAATTTAATAAATCAGTATTATCTTAGCCAACAACACAGTAAACTGCATTATGTCAGATATATAAAATTGATACAGAAATCATCTGAAAGCTTTGAAATATTAGAACCGAAGGCTTTCTGTGTTTGTAAATTAATGGCTTTTGTGTCGGGAGGGACTAAGGTACTTAAAACACTGTAACATCTTAAAATCTACAACAAAAGGAAAAAATTACTAATACTAGTTTTTAAAATTCACAAGTTAAAATAATGCAAAACAAATTTGTCATTTTTGCTGATTTTCAATGTTTATACATGCAGTATAAATTACAAATATGTATACCATTACAATACCATCTAAAAGAAAACGATGTATAAAATCTTTATGATAAATAAAATTATTGCATTTAATGTCATTTTCTTGAAAACCAAAGTCATCAAATTCCTTAACGTCATATTAAACATAAACATTACCAGTTCAAACTAGAAGAAATGTATGCCAATACCAGCTTCTGACAACAAAAATAAAGAGGTTAAAAGCCCTGCAGTTTGTCTGAGTTAGGTCAGATAATCATGGAAACAAGGGAATATTTAAAATTATTTATTTTATCATTATGCACAATGAAGGAAAGCATTATAGAGAGCAGAGTTCTTTCCCACCATAAAATTATTTACACCCATTTATTTAGCTAGAAACACTAGCTAGAAGAGGTACTGGTATATTCCATTTGTAATAATTTTTTACAGCAAACAACTGTCTTACACTTGGAGCATGTTGAAAAAAAATATTGCCTCGTAGGTCTTTTTTTTTTTTTTTTTTTGAGTCTCAATCACTAAGAGCTCAAGGTACTTTGAGAGAATCCTGGTCTCCTAGATGGTCTGATGAATGCACTAAAATCAAGCAATGTGTTTGTATTCTGAAAATATTCTTAAATCCATATAAATGTTGCTTGAGTTGTGGAGCTCATATCTCTCTTACTGGCACTATGACATGTGAAGGACATCCATTATGAAAGCTTCACGCCAATTTTGTTCTGTTCCTTTTTCATTAGCCGCTGTGCCTCCTTCTCCATTTTCTTCCTTTGTTGTTCTGCTGCTCTCTTTTCTCTGTCTGCTATCTTCTGCTGCCTGAAAAGAAACATATTCCTATTTTTACTTTTAGAAAATACCACACAGGTAAAATGGCGAATGAATTCCAGAAAGAAATAGCGGTGCCTTTTTATCAACATCAAATGTTAAGTTTGAAAAATCTTTCTTCTCACTGTTTTGAAAATTTCAAAGATTTTCAAAAACAGTATTTCTTTTAATCCTTAGAACACGACTTGCAAAATAAAAGAGTACTGTCTCTATGTTACCAATAAGTAAAATGAGGCACAAAGGCTAAGTGACTTACCCAAAGTCATAAGATTAAGTACAAGGAGACAAACCCACATCTTCTAATCCCTCTTCTTCAGATTATTTTCACTAAAACACTTCTTCCACTGGACCACACCTTCTTTTTGATACCATTCTGAAAAGCCTGATGTTGAGGACTAAATCTCCTGTTCTTATAATAGTTAGAAACACTCTGCTGAAGGAAGTCAAGAACACAGATGTGCAGAACACAATGCACAAAGAAAATAGAAATGAAACACAAGCCTTCCAACTGGAAGCCAGAAATCTATTTAAGGATTAGCATTTGGCCAGCTCTACTGAGGAAGGGGCAGAACAGTGGGTACCTGCTGATTATACATTATGAGATACTTCCCTCCTCCCTGGCCCCTCCTTGACTCCACTGAGCTAGAACCACTGGCCTCTCTTTTGTTACTGATTGACTTGTGTGGAGAGTGGGAGTAGCAGGGGGTGACGAAATAGGACAAAGAAAAGAAGCTGGTCCTGGATCTAAGGTTTAAGGCATGAGAAAATAGTGAAGAAGCATGCAAGGTTGAGGGAGGAAGCTGTAGGTCACAGTTATGCGTGGGATGGGCAACAGGAGGTTATAAAACAGAAAAATCCAGTGTGGATTACCTATGTTTGGGACAGCTCAAAGGGGACTCTGGCGAGTGAAACATATATACCATTCTCATCATATTTATAAGTGGGAGTGAGCAGAGTTGTGTATGACCAAAATTCGAGAAAGTAGACTTATTTTAGGCAATATTTTGACCTTCACCATCAATTAACTAAAGTTTCAGAAGAATAGTTTAACAGAAATCTACTTTTCACCAGCTCTGATCACTTCCTAGCAAAACTGATAATCTGCCCCCTAAAAAAGTCAAAATGCCCGTGGCAAAAAGGGAGCTAGAAAAGAATTATAAAGAGCTGGCTAGCTTACAAACAAGCAAGATCATCAAGCTTTCACCGGATTATTAGTTAAAGTATAAACATCAACAGTTAACGTTCCTGGAAAATGAGGCAATTTAGAGATGACTGCAGACAAAATCTGTTTTCCCTCTCCAGATACACACCTGGAATTACTGAAGTACCAGAATCTCCTTAACTTTACTGATTCCGGTACTGGCAGTATTAAAGTGGCAGTGGAAAACAGACTGAGAGGACACACAGTGTGACCACACTTCAAAACTTCGCGGTGTTCTTCCGGGGGCAGTAACAGCGCAGGAGTCCTCCAAGTGTCTTTGACTCTAACTTATGCAAATGGTAGCAGGAAGCATGCATATTACCAACTGATAGGTTCCCTCTCCTAAGCTGTCATATAACATAAAACACTAGGTTTAGGGTTTTGTTTTTTTCTTGTTTTGTTCAGAGTGCAAGAGGATAGAGCGTGGAAAAAAGGTACAGTGGGTATTAAGATACTTGGGAACTCATCAACTCTATAGTGCTGTCATTAAGATTACTGAATTCAGAATGAACAGACCCCTCTCCTTTATCCTGTGGTTAATGACACTAAAAATCACAAACCCCTGAAAATGTTCTAAAACACTTGGACTTCTATATCTATGATGTATCCAAAAAAGAGTAAAAGAAATAGATAACTTATCTTTTTTTTGATGATCCATGCAAAATAAATGTTGCCGTTTACAATTTTAAAAAGTCCTTTTACAGTGAATAATGATTAGATAAAAACTAAATATTTAAAACTCTCACAACTTTACTGACTTTTAAAAAGTGACGCATCCCTGTTTAAAAAAAAAAGCTGAAGGGGCGCCTGGGTGGCTCAGTTGGTTAAACGACTGCCTTCAGCTCAGGTCATGATCCTGGAGTCCCGGGATCGAGTCCCGCATCGGGCTCCCTGCTCAGCGGGAAGCCTGCTTCTCCCTCTGCTTGTGCTCTCTCTCTCTGACAAATAAGTAAATAAAATCTTAAAAAAAAAAAAAGCTGAAAATAGGAAGGACCAGACCAAAAAAAAAAAAGTCAGCCATAACTCAACTGCACCCTCTGCTGGCTGTTCAAGATAACTGTAGTTAGTTGATGAAGACCGGAAGGGAAAACACAAAAATGAAATCAGTTGTTTTGTTATTTATTTTCTATCCCTATTATAAAAACAATCTTTTAAAATAAAAAACTTACATCACTGTGTTTTACTATATCATCTTTAAAAATAAAAAATGATTTAGATACATTTAAATATATGAGCTTTTCACCAGTGATGATGGTCACAAACTTTTTTAGGGTAAATATTGTTTACTCTTTGACCTAATGCAGCAGTAGCAAGAATTAAGTTTACTGCTCACAGAAACAAAGAAATAAGAACATAACACCAAAAAAACAAACTTGAAGACCTCAGGAATAATATTTTCTTCTCTGTAGAATGGATAGTACCCGACATAATTATTTACCTCGTAGGGCTTTTGAGTACATCAACTAAGCCATATATACAAATGTAGAGTGCTATATAAGTTATTTCCATCCGAATGTGCAGTGCTGGGCACTATTCTAGACCACGGGGAAACAAAAATAAAGGTATAATTTCTGACCTAAAGGAATATATAATGGTGGCTCACGTTTCAAGAGATAACTATGTTTTACAGGGAATGGAATACAAAGCAAATAGTATAATATGATGTATATATATAGAAGACCTAATTTGCCATTAATAACATTATTACTCTTTTGTTCCTATAATGCTTTAAATTCTAGGTTTCTGTGAGGTTTTAATCATATAAAATAGTATATGCAGTCTGAAATTTATACCTAAGCTCAAGTGAGAAAGAATGAAGAAAAATACAACTTTTGGCAGAATCAGCTTTCTTGACCTCAAATGCAACATGAACAAATTGAGTTCTTCTACTCAAGCTGTAACGTAAGTATAACTAAAATACCTCAGAACTTCTTCTGCTTGCCAGGCCGCATCTTCTTCTTCTTCCCACGCGTTGGTATTTTCCTGCCAGGTATCTAAGTCACCTAATTCAGGCTACAACAAAGTGCAAAACAAAATTATGATAGTAAAGAGCTCCTCTTTCTCCACTTAGCAGTCAAGAAGAGTATCTGTTATAACATGACTCAGACCTTGTCACTCCCCTGTGCCTTCTTCACATATAAGGCCCAGATGACCAGGCCCTTGGTCTGCCTGGAACGGAGCTGTTTCTTGTGATGCATGACTTTCAGTACTCAACGGTCCTGGGCAGGTCCAGCTTTCTTCTATTTTATGTTTTATACTGATTCTTTTTTTTTTTTCCTGCCTACTTTAAGTTGGAATGGACAAGAATAGAACATTTCTTCTTTCTGTTTCTCTCTTTTTAGTGAAAGGACAGGGTGGGGGTGGGGGCAAGAGAAGAGACTAACTGGAGACGGAATTAGAGATGCCTAACTACTCTGTGCTGAGATGAACCAGAGGACCTGAAGTTTCCAAATTGGCACAGCCATTTCCATTTAAGCATAAGTAATTTATAGATTTTTTAGTGGTTCTTACTAGGTGGGTCCAAGGCAAAAACAACAAATCAGGCAAAATTTACTCTTTACCAGAGTACTTCCATATTGTGCTTTTTTTTTTGCCTGTCCTACTTACCTGATCCCAGTAGGCTGGCCTTCCACTATTTCTTTCATTATCCCCAGGCTGGACCTCTGAAAGTTCACTTTTTCTTCCACAAACCAATAAAAATGCTTATTCTGGAATGTTTAGTTAGGTGCAGAAGTGACTATGAGCATAAAATAACTTGCACCAATCTATGAATAGATTTATTACACTTTCTTTTGAGCACTTACACTTAAAACTGAAATTAAATGTGCGGTTTTTCTCCTCCTAACCATAAACATAATACCATCCTGTTAAAACTTTTTAGTGTATTTCTGGTTATCTGTTTAATATAAGTCTCTAAAAGTAGAATACCTAAATCAAATGAATTTTTTTTTTCAAGCCACTGAACCAAAATACAAATGACCCTCTTGAAAAACTATCCCAACTTATCCTACTGACAGCAACAGGTGGAAGTCTTGTTCCCCTGTACCTTTGTCAATTATGGTAATAGCCTTCTTTCATTTTGATAATTGGTTAAGATTTGATAATGGTGTCTTGTTATTTTACTTTCGATTTCTTTGAGAACTAATAAGATCAAACTTTTCTTCATGTTATCAGGCTATGTCTATTTCTTATTTGTAAATGTATCCATTTTTCCACTGAGGTGTTTGATTTTCTGTATATAAAACATTTAGACATAAAAAAAGTGAAATAAAACCACAAAAAGAGAGTGATATCTGATCCTTTAGTAGAGATGGCCTTCCAAGTTAAAAAGTTTTAAAGGATAAGATGGATAGAATTGCTACATAAAAACTAAACATAGGGCGCCTGGGTGGCTCAGTTGGTTAAGTGTCCAACTCTTAATCTCAGCTCAGGTCTTGATCTCAGGGTTGTGAGTTTAAGCCCCGCACTGGGCTCCATGCGGGGCATGGAGCCTACTTTAAAAAAACAAAACAAAACAAACCTAAACACATCTGCCCATCAAAAACATCCAAACCAAATTATAAAGCCAACAACAAACCAAAAAATTGTAAAAGATGACAGAAAAAAGTTAATATCCTTAGTATAAAAAGCTATCACAACAATACAAATGATTAAACTCCAGAAAAAAAAAAAAAAAAGAATGTGGAATTTAAAAGAAGAACCTAATTGGTAGAATGGGTGGTAAGATATTTTTGGAGTGGAGAACAAAGTGCAGTAGATTACCATTCCCTCCTAAGCAATGCCCACTTATTTCGTCTGCTGGGAGGAAAATATGTGGAAATAGCATTGGAGACATTCTCCATCTACCCTATTTACTCTTTCCAACTCTGCGAGGAGTTATATATTTACAACGTCATAATGAGCTATATTAGTGTTATAAAAACTTATAATTACAAGTAAGTGGCAAACATTTGCTAATTCACTGGATAAGTCTGAACCACTTTACAAATATGGATCAAACACGTGAATAAAGTATAAAATTTAGAAATATAAAATAAAAAATTAAACATGCTGTGCTACTTTAGAGAAATATCTATGGTGCTATTGTGTTCTCATAGCATGATGTAAATGCATAGGAGTTGGGGCACCTGGGTGGCTCAGTTGGTTAAGCATCTGCCTTTGGCTCAGGTCATCTCAGGGTCCTGGGATTGAGCCCCACAGTGGACTCCCTGCTCAGCAGAGAGTCTGCTTTTCCCTCTCTCCACTCATGTTCTTTCTGTCTCTCTTAAATAAATAAATCTTTAAAAAAATAAAAATAAAAAAGTAAACACATAGGAGTTACCAAAATTTGCATTATTTATAATAGTGCAATCATTTATTTAATACTGCACCTTCCGTACTAGAATGCATTCTTTTGAAGGAAGGACTCTTACTTTCCACTATAGTACTAGCACCAAGCACCCTGTCTCGCATTAGTAGGAATAATTTCTGACCCATGAATTAAAAATATACATAAACATGGGTCCCCTAGAGAGATGGGGCCTCCGAAGCACCCATGCAGTTTCAACAAACAAATAAGATAGGCACATGTGGTGGTTTAAAACTATGTCTGCAAATTCTTTGGCACTCTTCCTTCAGAGGTAGAGCTTAATTCCTCTCCCCTTGCATGTGCGCTAGATTTAGGGACTAACATCCAATGAATAAAATAATGTGGAGGTGACAGTGACTTAAGACTAAGTCATAAACAAGCATTGTGGTTTCACCTCTGCCTGCCTTCTCTTTCTCGGGGATTGCTTGTTCTGGGACTGTCAACGGTTATGTTGTATGGAAACTCAAGCAGCCCTATGGAGAGGTCCATGGCAAGGAACTGAGGTTTCATGCAACCAACCAGCATTAATTTGCCAGGCATGTAAAGTGAGCCCCTTTGAAATGAATCCTCCAATTCCAGTCAAGCCTTCAGATGACTACAACCCCAGCTAATGATTTGCCTGGAAACTCATTAGAAACCCCGAGCCAGAACTACCCAGTTGAGGCACTCCTGGATTCCCAATCCATAGAAACTATATGAGATAAAGAAGGTTCACTGTTTTAAGCCACTAAATGTGGGGTTGTTATATAATAATAACATAATAAATTGGTCAATAATTACTAATCAATAATTAGTCAATCAAAACATGCTTAAGCTTAGATCTGGGGAGAAGTCTGGACTTTTTTTTTTTTTAAAGTTATGGAGAGTTCTTTGATGATAATGATGACTACCTAGAGCGTCAGACTGTAAGTTTTTTTTTTAAAGATTTTATTTATTTATTTATTTATTTGAGAGAGAGAGAGAGCAAGAACAGTGCGGAGAAGCAGATTCCCCGCCAAGCAGGGAGCCCGATGCGGGGCTCCATCCCAGGACCCTGAGATCATGACCTGAGCCAAAGGCAGACACTCAACCAACTGAGCCACCCACGCACCCCTGGACATTGGTGTTTTTAAGACAATTCTCAGATACTTCCAAGGTTGAGAACCACAGTTATATACTTTCCTCACTACTTTTTGTCCTTCAAAGTGATGCATTTAAGTCAAACCTACTACAAGTCAAATTATACTTTAAATGTAAATATACTCTACTAGGGAAACAATTCATGACTCGCTTAAAAATAACCTGCTTCTAAGTTTAAATTTCAGTGGTAATCTCTTTAAAGGTCACATTTTAAAAAATTTTTTTAGAGAGGGAAAGTGAGAAAGCACGCATGTGCGCACACACGTGGAAAGGGGAGGGGCAGAGGGAGAGAGAGAATCTTCAGCAGGCTCTGTGCTGGGCACAGAGCCCAAGGCAAGTCTCAGTCTCACAACCCTGAGATCATAGCCTGAGCCGAAATCAAGAGTCGGACACTCAACCAACTGAGCCACCCAGGCGCCCCTAAAGGTCACATTTTGTAAGTAACATATTGTATTTGTCTTTTATGTGTCCAGTGGGACTCTGATCTTAGTAGCTGATGTAACTTACAATCTCATAAAAGGAAAAGACTGCAAAACTCCAGATTAATGTCTCTCATCTGCTAAGCCTGTTTTGAAGCACAGAAATACAAGTATTATGTTCAATTCAGTTTGATTTTTTTCAAGAAAACAAAAACCCTTGCCTACATATTATTAACATACTTACAGATTGATGAATAAAAGGCATATCCTGTGTAGCAGCTAATCTACTAGAGAAACCCGTGCTACCATCTGGGATGCCAAAATTTAATGGTTCTCTCTTCTTAATAATGATCTGAAAGATTAATTGAAACAGAATTATAGGAATATTTTACCCATCTTATAAAACAAACAAGCTAATTGAGTGACCAAAGTATTCTGTAATTATTTCAAATATGCCCTACCTTTCTTCTTTTAAAATTTATAATGTAAAGGTTTAAGTCTGTAAAGACTATCAAAATTCCTAGGCAATTGTCACACAAATCACTTACATACTAAGAAAAATTCCACTTTACTTTTTCTAAAAAAACAAACTTTCCTCTTCTCTCTCTAGACCCACAAAATATAAGTTGGCACTTTTAGTCACTGTATTAAATAAGAACACATGTCACATTCTACTAAAGTATAACCATCTCTCTTCATACGGTTATCTATGAATGCATTAGCTCTTTCAAGGCAGGAGTGTTAGCTTTGTACCTTAAAAACATTTTCAGTCTAACTAATTTATTAAGGTACTATTGAAATATTCTAGGTTCCTCTTAAGAGCAGCAATATACTTCCAAAATATAAGGTATTCATCTACTAAGACACGCAAACTCCTTGAGTTTGAGTTCAGCACTGAGACATTTGGACAACTTAACAAAAACAAAACTGATTACAGAATGTAAATGTTATCAGCCTTGAAATTGTAAAAATAAATTTATAGCTGAAACTGGTTGGGAGGTAGAAGAGGGTGAGAAGCCCTATTAGGAAAGGGTGGGATAAATAATGTCCTCATTTTATAAAGTGTGTTTTTAAGAAATATTTTCTATGCATGACTGAACAAGAAATAGAACTCTAAGCATTTTTTGTTTTGTTTTGTTTTGTTTTAATAGCAGAGTGACTAGTGAGGTAGACTGGAATAACAGCATCATATTTGGAAGAGGGGGAAGAGCAGTGAGGGTAGTATGAAATAAACCCTCATCTACCATAGTATGAAGTCAATGGACAATGTCTGTGATTAGTAAATCAAGGCACAGCAACATAAGCATATTATATATAGATATGATTTGAAAAAAATAACAACACTATAAGCCCAAACAGGAAAAGTTATCAGTGGTTGCTTCTGAGAAGTCGAATTGGCTATGGGGAATGATGGGGCAGAAGTCTGTTGCTTTTCACTATAAGCTCTTCTATATTCTTTGATTTAAATTTTTTTTTTAAAAGTACATTTTTGATAAAAAGAAAGGAAAATATTTAGCTACTGTTCTTTTCCCAATAATTCCCTCCACCTTTAAGTGATCTTCCATATCCAACTCAAAAGGGACTAAGTAAAGTGTGGACGATTAACATAAGCCCACAACAATTATTCTGAGAGTCCTACATCAGTTTTATAATGGTTATAAACAATGGAAACTACACCTATCAGTCTGTAGTCATCACTAAACTGTGAACTCTTTTAAGGTCAGAACTTTATCTTAATCAGCTTAGTCTCTCTAGCAGAGACTGCAGTCTAGAATCTGGTCTACGGTTGGATTTCAGTAAATGCAAATATAACTTTAAAAGACTTGGGGATGCAACTTACTAGATCTATGTCTAGGTCACTTGAATATATAAGCTTGTTTAATATGTTAGAAAAGACAACAAATTGATCATTAGAAATAGGCTTTCTGGTTAATTATACTGTCTGATTCAAACATAGGAATCTGAAAAACAGTTTATTTAACCTCCCAAACCACTCTTTTACATACTTTCTGAGTTTTCCTTATAGTTGGTGTCATGTCCTTAAAATAGTCAGGTTCCAGTTGTTCCAAGGCATTTTGTTGTGTTGCTACATTCCCATTGCCTCCTTCAATCTTTACACTTGTGGGGGCGTCTTCGTCCCAGGAAGTCCATTCTTCAACATCCGTCTTCATTGAATCCATCAACAGTGTCAGCCACAAAGGGGTAACTTAACATCTCATTCATCATTTATTAGAAAAACAGGCTTTCTAAAACATTGGTTTTCAAACTTTTTGACCAACAGGAAAATAAAAATTTTATAAAACATACCAAAACTAGATCAAAAGTTTAAAAAAACACTTACTTTTATTAGAAGTTAGACAATTGGTTCTATCCATTAAAAAGCAAAAAACAAAACAAAAGCAAATGCTTTAAAACCTGAACTGACATTTAGAACTACAGTCCACAGAAAGAATATTGAAACTTGCATCCTAAGCCTAACCGGGTTGAATCCCTGATTGAAAAAAAAAAAAAAAAAATTCTTCATAGGATTTATATAAGACAGAGTCTCAAATATAATATTCAAAATGTCCATGAAACAACCCCAAATTATTCAGTGAACAATCAGTAAATTTCAACTTGCATGGAATGATAACACAAATGTTATAATTATCTAAGACTTTAAGATAGTTATAAAAATACTTCAACAAGCAAAAGTAAACACTCTTGAAATCTATGGAAAAATAAAATAGAAAACTTCAGCAAAGTAACAGAAAATACTATGAAGAACCAAATAAAAATTTTAGAATTAAAAAATATAACAACAACAAAAGCCTGACCTGACTACCAAATTAATTTCCTGATATACTAATTAATGGTCTGTAGTCCAGTTTGAAAACCATGGTTCCGGAGCACTTATTCAAACTTAAACAAAAATTACCTGTTTAGGAACTGATGAATAATCAACTGTAGTTGGCAAAGTTATCTGGTCTCCGCTTAATTTCCGTCCTCTGCCAGATCTAAAATAAAAATGAAAATAGCTTATTTCAATAATTACCAAAACAAGCCTGAGTAAAACCACTATGGACAGTAAGGTAAAGCTAATAAAAAAGGTCTTTTATGGGGCGCCTGGCGGCTCAGTCATTAAGCGTCTGCCTTCGGCTCAGGTCAAGATCCCAGGGTCCTGGGATTGAGCCCCGCATCGAGCTCCCTGCTCAGTGGGAAGCCTGCTTCTCCCTTTCCCACTCGCCCTGCTTGTGTTCCTTCTCTCGCTGTCAAATAAATAAAAATACCTTTAAAAAAAAAAGGTATTTTTATAATTTTACAATTATTTATTTTAACAATTAAGAGTTGCTCATTAAAATATGAAAAGAAAAGGCATGCATCAAATATCTTTTAAATGTGTTTAAAATCTTGGACAGGACAACAAAACTGCTTTTTGGCTTAGGACTCAGAATTATAGATAAACTCAGGAGGCATATAAAGACATAAACAAAAACAAAAATGCAAAGTAATTTCAAACCATATTCCTTCAAACCATGCTCTGTTGGTGAAGTTCTAGGACACCTATCCCTTTTTTCGTGTGTGTGTGTGGTTTTTTTTGTTTGTTTGTTTTTGTTTTTTAAGATTATTTGATAGAGAGAGAGAGAACACACCTGTGCACAAGAGCGGGGGAGGAGCAGAGGGGGAGAATCTTCAAGCAGACTCCTCATGGAGCTTGGTCCCACGACCCATGAGGTCATGACCTGAGCCAAACCAAGAGTTGGATGCTCAGCCAACTGAGCCACCCAGGTGCCCCTACCTATGCCGTTTTAACCAGGATGGCTTGGCTTTTGTTTGTTTTACTGATTTGTTTTTTTGGTAAGATTACCTATTATTAAAAGTTTGAAAATCACTGGGTTGAACTAAACTAATTGATAAGGATTAGTAGGAGAAGCACTATATTAAACAAAATAGGTATCATAACTCAATTGCTAAAGCATGGGCTATGGAAACTATGTAAACCATAGTTTTAAATGTTACGTCTATTAATTATGAGTCTAGTTAGAATCAATAAGCCTCTCAGCTTCAATATCCTCATCTGTAAAATGTAGGTATTCAAACCTACTTTTGTAGGGTTGTTATAGGGATTTAACTAAGTAACATATTTAATGCAGCTAGACACTAGACAGTGCCAGGTATATACTAAAAAAAAAAAATGGTAGCTATTATAAATGATTAATCACTTGCTTCATTTCAAATAATCTATACAGCATCTACTTAGAGCAAACTGGTAAAGTTTGTTATTTTTACTACAAGATTAGAAATCATATTTTGTTTAAAGGATAAATAGAAAACACAGTCTACTACTAAATTTATGATGTGGACCTGCTACTTTTAGAACACATGATCTAGGTTCCTTCTGACACATAAGAAAAGCTTATTCTAACAAGTCAGTTTTCTTTAAAAGTGAACATACAATGAATCCTAAATAAATTATTGTGAAATTTATAGTGGCAACAACTGTCCTTAATATTTTTTAAATCAAATGCATTCTTTTACCAAAAGTATTTTAGTTTTAGAAAATACATATGTAAAGAGAAAAACACCCATAATTTATCTTCTGTTAACCTCCAGCCTTCTGGCAATTCATACCCAGTCTTATCCTACTTTACTTTGTGAATTTCTGGCCATTCCTCTTCACGCTCTAATGATCTGAGCACTTAGTTCACTATTTTGCCTACTTCCCAAACCCTGTCCTCTTCCTGGGTAAGTTCTATAGTCACCAGAATTTTCCATTTCTTTCTTGACCTTTCCTCCTCCAGTGATCATCTGCACTCTATTTCATCCACTCATTCCCTTTGCCATACTATGGACCCATTTTTTAAAAAATCCCCAATCACTCTACTTCTAACAATAAATGTCCTTAATCCTCAGAGTTTTAATAGTTATAAATGGCCACTTAGCCAGAGGATATATTTCCTGGCCTCCTTTGAAGCTAGGTGGTCATATGATCCTTAGCATATGTTTAAGCTCTAGACAGTAAGCTTGAGAACTGAAGTGTTGTGTGCAACTTCTAAATCAAGTCTGCCAGAAAAGAGAACTGACAGCCTTCTACTTCCTCTTTTACTATACCCTCCTCTGTGTGTCAGTACTTTTTTTTTTTCCACAGTACTCCTGGCCAAAACAAATACCTAACAGTTCCATTGATTACATAATTAGACCCAAACAATTAATACTTATTTATGTCCTAACTACACAGCAGCCATTTGCAAAAATACTACATATAAAGAAAAACAATATTTTGATTTCATTCTTAAAGAACAACAATCACTAATGGAACATATGTGTGGGGCTACTGGATACTGCACAGCTTCTCAAAACTCGAAATCAGAATGGATACTACCGTACTCATTTTCTGTTCCATATTAATTTTAGGTTCAGTACTTGCTTTAGTTACAACCTAAATCCTAGCTTTGCAAAGACAGGTCACTAAAAATACAAGTAAACAAAAACTTATCTCAAACATTCAAGAATATCTGCAAAAGTAATGCTGCACGATCTAATGTTACAAATGTGAACTACCTTGAGCTAGTAGCTTGTGCAGCGTTTAACAGATGTTGACTATCCCATTCACTGTGTTTTGCTAGAAATTAAAAAAAATCCTGATGATATACCCCTGTGAGTTTAATGTGAAGCCCTGAAGTGCCTCCGCACATAGTTCTAGGGTACAGTATAGAACTACAGAACTATAGCTCTAGGGTATAGCTGTGTGACAAAAATAGAAGGAATTCAAATCTTTGGATGACTTACTGAAGTAGAATGACTTATCTGACTAGGACTAAACAGTCCACATTCCACATTCTGGAATATTATTTAAGAGACCAAAAAAAAAAATCTATTTTGTGTGGGGTTTTTCTGTGCAAGTGTTTTTTTAATACAAAAACATTCATATTATAGTATATAAAGAAATACTTATTCCTAATTCCACCTAACCATCTTAAAACATTCTGGTAATGAAATAATTATGTACATAAAAACTGTCTTATTACAATGAAAATTGACTTGCTTTTTTCTGAAATTCTATAGGAATAAGAATACAATTTTAATTAAAGATGTAAGAATTTGAAAGAATGAAAAGAAGTGAAACTCTACTTTCTAGATCTGAAGTAGAGAAAATATATTTAAAAAAAATACCAGACAGTAACAAATGAATACTATAATCAAGTTTAGCTTAAGTATAGTCTGCCCTGCCTTTTTGTAATTATGAAGGCATCCAAAACCAGCAAGAAGAGAAACAAGTCAATTTGAACCTAAAATTTGTTTACCTGCATATTAATCTCTTTAGGAATGAGAATACTGTAGCGAGGCAGGTGCAAACTTTAAATAACCGAAACTGTGTGATAGCCATGGTGGGAATCAAAACCTGTGGAAAAAGCACAAAAATAAATGCACTTAGCTGATTTCATAAGCTATATTCCCATTCTCAAGTCAGGCTGAAAGGTCCTATTATGAGTTGTGAAAATCAGACATTTTTTTACTTTTCTTCAGAAACCACAAATATAACACAGTAAATTTTATTTTAAGGATTTTATTTATTTATTTGAGAGAACGAGAGCACATGCGAAAAGGGGGCAGGGAGAGGCAGAGGGAGAGAAAGAATCTCAAGCAGACTCTGTGCTAAGCATGGAGCCCAACGCAAGGCTTGATCTTACAACCCTGACATCACAACCTGAGCCAAAATCAAGAGTCAGGAACTCAACCAACTGAGTCACCCAGGCGCCCCATACACAGTAAATTTTAAAATTAAAATGTAAATCATACTGACAATTCAAGAAACAAGATTTTTTTTTTTAAGATTTTTTATTTATTTGACAGAGAGACACAGCGAGAGAGGGAACACAAACAGGGGGAGTGGGAGAGGGAGAAGCAGGCTTTCCACGGAGCAGGGAGCCGGATGCGGGGCTTGATCCCAGGACCCTGGGACCATGACCTGAGCCGAAGGCAGATGCTTAATGACTGAGCCACCCAGGTGCCCCCAAGAAACAACATTTTTAAGTTTTCAATAGATGAGAGGAAAAAAGCCTTTCTGAAATATTCTCAGAATATTTTTTAACTGAATTTCAATTACCTATTTATGTATTATTTTCTACTAAAAAATCAAAAAAGCATAAAACAGTATATATTGAATCTTTTGTACCTTTTGAAGTTTGAACCACATGAACATAACAGTATTATTCAAAACATTTTTAACTTTTAGATAGATACATTTTATTATGCCCATTTTAAAGATGAGGAAATTAAGGGAGGTCAAATAACTTGCCCAAAGTCACATAGCTACTAACTTGAAAGTAACAACAGAGATCATCTAGTCCAGTGGTTCATATATCTGGGGATCCTTTAAAGATATGATACCTGGATCTAACCCCAGTAAATCGATTAAATCATATTCTCTAAGGGGCAAGTTCCAGTTAAACTAATTAGACTACAAAGGAGACAAAATACAGTCAACAGAAAAGGGAGCCAAAAAAAAAAAAAAAAAAAAAAGGCAGGGGAGAACAGAAAACAAGGTAAAGGGGAACAAATAACAGATGGGACAAGAATAGGGAAAATATACCATGCTAATACTAATCAAAAAGAAGTTGAAGTGACTATTTCAATGTCAAAGAATAGATTTCAGAGAAAATAATATTAGCAGGCATAAAAATGGTCCTTTCATAATGATAAAAGGGTCAGTAAATCAAAAGCACGTAATAATCCAAAATATGTAAGTCCCTAATAACAGAATTATGCCAATATCATAAATAAGAGGTGACATTACCAGAGAGTCTGCAGATATTAAAAGGGTATTGAGAAAATATTACAAACAACTGATACCTATATCTATAGGCATATAGATCTATGCTTCAGTCTGAGTAATATCAACACCAGTATACTACATATACCGTTTGTAGGTTATGCCTTATATAAAAACAAAACAAAAACAGAAAGCAAGGAAACACAGTTAACTCTTGTGATACCTGATCCTAATTACTCTGTAGAGCCACTACTGCCATTCCCTTCAAAGAAGGGCAAAACACACAGCTAGCTCTTTTTATTGCTAGAATTACAAATGTAGAAAGGCCAAGTAGACTCTTCACAGTAACAGAGTTCCAAAAGGCTCCCTTAGCAATGCCCATACATTGAGGTTGTATCTCCACATGAGCTCAATGATTTACTGAATGCCTGTATTTGCAGTTGACATACTAATTGCAAGGATGGAAAGAACAGTGACTCCATGAGAATGAACCAAAAAATTTAAGAATTTCACTATTCAAGTAACTTAAATACTTCTGACAAAAAGAAAGAAACCAATTAGTGGTTTACTAGGTTTCAAAAAATGCAAAAGTTTTGACTTCTCCTTTCTCTTAGCCCTATTATGTCCAAACTGCCAAAAGGCCTTACTCCATTTCCTAATACTGCCTATATTCTTCCCTATTTCCACTGCAATCTCCCTAGCATAAGCCTTTATTACGTCTTGCTGGGGTATTATAAAACCTTTTTTTTTTTTTTTTTAAGATTGATTTATTTCAGAAAGAGAGAGAGAATGAGTGTGGGGAGGGGCAGAGGGAGAGAATCTTCAAGCAGAGTCCCCACTGACCGCAGAGCCCTCTATGCAGGGCTTGATCCCAGAACCCGTGCATGAGATCTTGACATGAGCCGAAACTAAGAGTCAGACGCTTAATCAACTAAGTCACCCAGGTGCTCCTATTATAAAGTCTTCTTAATTCCAGTATGTTTCTCTTACCACACTTACATTCTCTACTTTGTACTATAGTTATTTCTATATACCTTATCTGCCCTGTACAATCCTTCCCCAGAGGATCTTGTTTATCTTGTACCTCCAGTTATCAGTTGCAAAGTAACACCTGAAAGGTTTAACTACTTCATTATGACTAGAATGACCTGACAGTTAAGATGATGAATAAAAGCTCCATTTTAAAGTTGATTTGTCAAGAATAAAACTCTTAACCAAAAGAAGGCAAACTTCCCTATATGAAAATTTAGGCTAAATTTTTATAAAAATTATAAACAAAACAAGATAGCTAGAAAAGAGATTGTATGGAATGTGGCACTTGGGGGAAAAGGGGACAGAACTGAGGAGATAATCAGGAAGTTTTGAAGGGAGAAGACATATAATATTTAAGGACTGGGGAGAGGAGTGGGTCTCAGGATATATACATGAATGCAGAGTTGAAAATACATTTCATATAGAGCCTTGGTAACCACTGTCACCACCTTGCCACAAATATTATTGTCATTGTTCAGTATTTGTCAACTTGAATGACTTCAATGGTAACTGGAAACAAAATTTAAAATTTTGCCCAACATAAAAACAGAAAATGGGACTATTATTGACAATAGAATAGAATTCTCTTCGTAGCAATTAAGAATATCCTCATTCTTCAGAAAATTTTCTTTTGTAATTATCAAAAAGATCTAATATTCGTTGACCAGCTCCTATATGCCAAGCATGATCTAAAAATTATGTCTCTCAACCCATAAAACAATCTTATGAGATAGATACTACTGCTCTCATTTCATAGAACTGAAGCACAGAGAGTAAGCGCATGTTTCCATGCTCCTACAACCAATGACTCAGATTTAAACCTAGGTCTATTTAATTCAAAAGCCAAGAACATCTCACTAACAATAAACATTCTTACTAATTCAGTGATGATATTATAATTTACAGACTAAATTTTCTAGCCGGTTGCAATGAAATGGGGAAAATGCAATCAAGTTAACTATCAAAACTTTTTATCAATTACACTGATTTGCAAGCTGGAATATTCTTTGGGACCCACAGTTACTTAATGTTCCAATTCAATTCAACAAACATATATATATTTAGCACCTACTATCTAACAGATGCTACCCTGGGTAATGGGAAAAACTACTGACCCAATACAGAGAAACCAAGTGTTTGTTGCTCGGTTGTCACAGGCTAGTGACAATGCAAGGGACTGAGGAGACAGGGCCCCAATCAGTCTTGCTCGGTTTGGTATTTCTAGGTCTTAGCCAATGCCAAGCACACAGTAGGTACTCAACTATTTGTTGAAGGGAATGTTAATGTTCCTTGAGCACTCAGTATGTTCAAAACATAGTTCTAGACAATGTATCTTCTATCATATCACTGGAATCCTAAGGACAAAGGAGGTAAATTCCACTATACCCATTTAATGCATGTGGCTGACAGGCTCCAGAGGATTTACTCACCCACAATTTAAAGAGACTGACCCAAAGTCTAGGCTCTCCTCATACCATATCCCTTTGATAAACCTTTTAATTTTATACTCATTGCCTCAGTTTGTTTGTTTTTTTTTTTTAGATTTTATTTATTTGACAGAGAGACACAGCGAGAGAGGGAACACAAGCAGGAGGAGAGGGAGAAGCAGGCTTCCCACGGAGCAGGGAGCCCGACGCGGGGCTCGATCCCAGGACCCTGGGATCATGACCTGAGCCGAAGGCAGACGCTTAACGACTGAGCCACCCAGGCACCCCCTCAGTTTGATTTTTGAATGCCCTTTAGGTAGCCAATTTAAGTAGGCATCTTAGGCTACTTTGCACTTTGGTCACTTAAAAATACTTTCTAAAACTGAGAATTGCTAATATAACCTAATTTTCAAATTAAAATTTCCTTTAAAATTAGGTGGAAAATACAAAAACTTGAGATATAGCAGGAAAAGGATCAGAATTATGAAGCAACCTATTCTCAGGGCTTTTGGAGAAATGACATCTCTAGGAAATCAACAGGAATGAGAGCTCAGCTAGGTCAAGTGAGGAAGATTCACCTACAATTTTAAAAATACACTGCGTTAGAAGCTGCAAAATTAAATATATCTTTCTTTCTTGTAATTCCCCGTAAACTGCGGGTGAGACCCTTTCAGTAGAGTCACTGTGTTACAATTCATTAAACAAGCCAAGCCAAAATCTTTTCGTATACACTAAATAAGTCTTCAATTGCTGTAATTCTAAAAATATGTTTGAAATTTTTCAATACCAAAATTTTAAAAACCATGTGACTTAGTACAATACAGAACAGCCTCAAACTGTTTGTAACTCTCAAGCTGACTAAGGACTATCGCAAGTCTCCAAAAATAAAATTTACCTGAACTCACTTATGTGAAAAACCAAGGAGAAAGGGAACTAAAAGTAGAATGTGGGAGCGGGTTGAAAAGTGGACTGTATCACCTCTGGCCACTCAAAGTCAGGCCCTCAAATACGTGACACCGACTCCTACGAGGGCAGAGTTAAGGTCTCCTGAATGACTCAAAAGGCACGGGTTGCATAACTAAAATGCTTTAACTTCTGATTACCCACCTGAAATTGGCTGATGAAAAAAAAAATCACACCCACTGTACAGATGAGAAAAAAGAC